TGGGTGTATGCATAGCTATGTAGATTCAGGCTGCCAATAATTCATGGTTTACAGCCTCAGTCTGTAAACAGATTCCCCAAACTGGATATCAGTCTGTAACCTTCCCCCATCCACATGGCAGGTTATTTATCCCGAAGAGAATCAGTGAAAAAAATGGAGAAGGAAATAGCCACAGGTAGGAATTGAAAATTTTTAAAGAGGAGAGTAAGACTTGGAAGATCAAGTGTTTCAATTGATTAAACAGAATACGAATTAATGGGCCGGGCACGGTGGCTCATGCCTGTAATCCTAGCACTTTGGGAGGTGGAAGGATTGCTTGAGGCCAGGAGTTTGAGACCAGCTGAGCAAGAGAAAGACTCCCGTCTCTACAAAAAAATAGAAAAATAAGCTGGGCATGGTGACGAGAGGCTGTAGTCCCAGCTACTTTGGAGGCTGAGGCAGGAGGACTGCTTGAGCCTATGACTTCGAGGTTGCAGTGAGCTGTGATGATGCCACTGCAGTCTAGTCTGGACCCTGTCTCAAAAAAAAAAAAAAAAAAAGAGTAAGAATTAAGGAAAGGCCACTAAACGTGGTCAGCCAGAGGTCACTCGTGAGCTCAAATGCACTGGTTTCATGGAATGGCTTTCATTCATTCAATGACTACATATTCAGCAACCACGACATGTGTGCCAGGCACAGTACTAGGCTTCCTACGTTGGAGGGAACTAGAAAAGAAACAGGAGTCAGATCAGAAAGCATTAAGAATTGAACAGTTCTGAATACAGACTTTCATAAGAAATTTTTGGGTAAAAGGAGTAAAGTGGAATGAAAGACTGAAAGGAAAGGAAATCAGACCCACAAAAAGTAAAAAAAAAAAAAACAAAACACATTGTTTTTAATATTACATACTAAGAGAGAAACACAAAGAACTGACGCAAATGGGAAGAAGTCAGTGAAGATGGAAGGATGGAAGCAGCCCAAGCAAGGCACAAGAGAAGGAAGGAAGTAAGCACATCAACACTGCTGGTACTGGTACAGGGTGGGGCTGGGGGAGGAGGCTTGAGGGAGTTTAGCCTTGGAAGGAAGAAAGCGATGGATATTCCTCTGAAATAGGTAAAAGGGAGCAAGGCATAACAACATGTCTTCCCTCTTCCCTCTCTTTTAAATAAAAATGAATGTAAATGCAGCAAGATTCTAAGGCAGCAAGACAATGGCAGAATGTGGACTAAACATCTGGAAGCTTCTCCAGCTAGATATAAAAACCTAATATAAACAAAATACATATTCCACTAGAACAGATCCAAGCATTAGAAGTAGCTACCAATGTTAGCAAAACAGCAAAATTTGTGTAGCATATAAGTGGGATTTTAAGAATCAAGAATTTAATGATGTTGAAAGAATATAAAATGTAGTTTCTAATTTAAAAATAGGATTAATTTTTGTAGCTCCAACTTGCCTTATAATCAACAATTTTTGACATCTCGATTTGGTATCTTAAGGTCAAAAAAGACAACATATATAAGGCTATATTTATTATATATAAATTTGATATAATTCAGACTTGAAAATACTACACATTTTTTTCCTTATAACAAAAGACATTACAAAATTCAGGTAAACAAGATAGAAGCACGGCAAGAAATGTCAAATTGCATTAAAATGCTGTTTCAAGAAACTCTCCATTAGAAAGAAAACAAATAGCATTGCTTTATGCCACTTGCTAAATGAAAAATTTTCAGTTGAGACTGTTCAAAATAGCAAGATAATAAATGTTATTGCTAATTTTTTTTTTAAAAAGGCATAGGGCTGACTGTTGACATTACCAAAGTACACATTTGTTTTGATGCCTGGTAGCAGCCACCCCTGAACAACTGGGTCTGCATGGCTAGGTTGAAGGAATTCTTCCAGTAGTTTCCAGAAGATTGCTCCCAAAAAAGAAAAAAGTTACATGGGCCAAAATGCTCAGGCTATCCCAGAGAGAGTGCTATGGTCTTTTCTACTATGGGCTAATAACTGGAGTGTCCGTGTATAAGTAACCCTATAGCCTCAAACATAAGAAAAACAATCTCATGACTGTGAGTGCTATTTATTTAGGGTCCCAGATCCCCAAATGAAATTATTCTGGGCACTCAAAAGATATTAAGAACAAACAGAAAAGGTTGTTAGCAAGACCAAGATATTAAGAATGGGTAGGAAAGATTGTTAGCATGGAGGCCCAGATGTTCAATTTCTAATCAAAAGTTTAGTTTATTATATCTCAAACAAGAAGCAGTACAATTAATTAAAGTGTGCACCTAAACTATCAACACAATTTTGGCATCTTCCTGGTGGCTTGTTTATGCCAGCAGCAAAGAAGCCTGGAGAGCAAGAGGTGATGAAACCGCAAAAGACATTTTCCACAGCTTGTTGAGAATTGAATTATTTTTCCTTGCGAGAAGTGGTCCAAAGCCTGTAAGAAGTGGTAGTCATTTAATGCAAGTTCTGGTGAGTACGGTGGATGACAGAGAGTTTCCAAGTTTGGCCTCTGTAGTTTGAGTAGCATTGTTTGTGTGACATGTAGTCAAGCGTTGACATGCAACGGGATTGGCCTGTCTCTACTGACCAATCTCTGCTGCTTAATCGCAAGCATCCTCATTATTTTCTCCAATTGGTTGCAGTAGACATCTGCTGTGATCGATTGACCAGGCTTCATGAAGCTGTAGTATATAATACCAGCACTGGACCACCAAACAGATACCATTAGCTGTTTTTGATGAATATTCGGTTTTGGACTGTATTTTGGTAGTTCATTTTTATCCAACCATTGTGCTGCATGCGTGTGATTGTCAAAAAGAATCAATTTTTCATCACACTAACAATATGGTGTAGAAATGGTTTGCCTTTATGTCACGATAGCAAAGAAAGACAAGATTCAAGACGATTTCTCTTCTGATGCTCGTTTAATTTACGTGGTACTCATCTATCCAGCTTCTTTACCTTGCCCACTTGTTGCTTCAAATGGTCCCATATTGTTGTAATAGTAATGTCAAACTTTGCTGCTAATTCATGCATAGGTCGAGATGGATTTGTTTCCACCACAGCTTTCAGCTTATCGTTATCCACCTCGGTCTCAGGTTGCCCACATGGCTCATTTTCAAGATTAAAATCACTAGAATGGAACTTCTCAAACCACTGACATATTGTTTGTTCATTAGCCACATCCTTCCCAAATACTTCGTTGATATTTTGAGCTGTCTACGATGCATTGGTTCCACCACAGAACTCATATTCGAAAATAACATGAATTTTTGACTTATGCATGGTTTCACAAAAATTGCTCTAAAAAAATTTGAAAGATAATCATAAGCCAAACCATGTGTTTGAAAGACTGAGGATATACCTTCACAATAAACATAAAACAAGAGTGTGAAAGCAAAATGTCAGAGATGTCAACACTGTCAAACTTAGTACTTAAGGAAATCGGACATTTCATACTTAATAGCCTAATATATTTACTGAATCCACAAAGATGTGACTTTCTAGAGCAAATCTCTAGAATACAGGACTATTGTAAATAAGAAGCTGAATTCATCCAAATTTGAAGACTGAAGATTTTTTTTTTTTTTAGTGTAAGTATAGCTGAAACAGTATACCAGCAGGTAGAGGCTGAATAGGCAAAACAAGTAGAGACCAAGAGAAGAGAAGGGGGCAAGGAAAGCAGAAAGGCTTGGGGAAGGCAAGAGTGAGTTAAAAGGCAATGAGGGATTAAGAGATGGAATGACAAAAGTTGTTAACCAAGGAAGCTTCCAAGTTTGAGATCTCAGTAGTAACAGCCCTCCTGAGAAACAACGCAAGGGCAAAGTTTCATACATAGCATTAGAAGTGAAAATATTTAGTAACTTGAGCAACTCAAGGCAAGCAAAAACTGAAGAAGAGGAGGGAGCTACAGAGCCCACACGATGGTAAACCAGCAGGGTGACTAACAACTGGTTGCAGAAGAGAAGTAGGTAAGAGATATTATACAACCACTGGTAGCAGAATTTAGAAGTCAAACTCACAAAGGAAAGGGAAGCAAGGCGGTGCTGATTTTTTTCTCTCGATAAAGTAAATATTTATATGTTTTACTATGACAGGAAAGGCAGGAAAAAAAGAATGAAAACAATTTTATCTTTACCATATTTAATGCACTCAGACTTTATATAGTTTTTTAAAATGTTAAACATATCAGTAATGAAGAATTCAGATGATTTTTTTTGGTCTTTCCACTGACCAAGCTAATATATCCTGAAATCCCTGGAAAGTACAAACTTTCTCCTTGACTGATTGCCACAAATCATGTTACAAGAAAGCAGCTGGTACAAAAAGCCACGATTATGGGACAGCTACCAAAACATGATCACATACCCAGCAATTGGAAACTTCAAATTTCTAGAAAAGCACTTATGAATAAAAAAAGAGGTTTACAAGGTTTAGCAATTTTCAAGGATTTTCAACTACTCATGGATAATTGTCCAGGTAGGTGTGTAGCTCATATACTTTATGTGCTTGTCCTGTAGGAGCCAAGGACAGTTTAGATGTGAGCTGACCAAACATACCCAACACGTAGCAAGGACATGTAGGAACATGTTATTAACTTCTAACCCCCTCCAAGTACTATTACCTGTCTATAGCATTTCAGAAAACATGACATAAATCCCTGAACTTCCTAGGGAAAAGAGACTGTGGAGGTGATATGATCCAATTTACAGATTAGAAAACTAGGGCACAAAGAAGTTAAATGCCTCAGCTGAAGACCACACCGCTGGTTAGTGGTAGAGCCTAGAACCCCACTCTGCACACTCCCTTCTCAGGACCCTTCTCCCCTCCTCCCCCTTCCCACTTCCTGATGCAAGTGTCCCACAGAGCTCGCTGGATTTCCACATAAAGTAATAATATGGCGTTCTTTTTGAAAGGTAAAATAAGATGACAGAATCTAAAAGGAAGAATGAACAGGAGTTAAAAATATCTGCTTGACATAAAATAATATTAATTTAAAACTGTACCTTGACTGCTTCTGATGAAAGTACATTTTCCTTTTTCTGACTTGCGCTCATGGGTTCATTTTCAACACTGAAAAATAAAAACCACAGTTTGTTTTGAAATTAAAATAGAATTACTAAACTCATAGAATTTCTGTAAACAAAAAATTGAAAGGCCCATTATTGGCAATGCCCGAAGATTCATACATAAAATGTTATACTAAGAATATATTGATTTGAATCTCTACACTTGAAAAACGCCTTCAAAAATGCTCATCCGGTCTTTAGAAATTTTTGTGAGTTCATTATGCTTTATATTTTCTCATATTGATAATCAACATCACAGTAATGATGCATCTGAACAAAGGAGCACCAATGTATGACTATCATAACCTTGGAAAGTGCTAGCACTCTAAGATTTTATTTATACTAAAGCTCTACACAGCCTGATCTTTTTTTAATGCCTATGCTGAGTGTTATTTGGAATAGAACCCATTTCTATTCAGCAAATCATTATAAACATATAGGTTCATCTAGTAAATTCTGGGAATACTCAAAAATAGATGCAGGCTTACCTATCTCCGAGTGTGTTCCAGATGGCACCTTAAAAATCAGATTCCCAGATAGTGACTTTTGATTGTCTTTTGTCTGGAATACCTTCACAGGTGCTTTATGAGATGTCATCATAAACTACTTTGCTAATCAGCATGTACGCATTTTAGATCTTAATATTTATCTCTATGTTTATACATTATCTCATTTTCATACTTTCATAACCTGAGAAGCATTGAAGCAGCTCCACTCTAAAGATGTTTCCCCCCTGCCAAGGACTGCGCTTGGCCTTAAGAATATAAAAATGAGTAGGTCTGGGTTTTTGCAAAATTCGGTCTAGCTGGGGAACCTGACACCCAAACTTTTAAGGATACAGTTTGGTAAGAGCTATAACTGCTGAATGAACAAAATCCCATGGAGCATAGAAGAAATAAGGAACAACTGATTCTGCCTACTCAGTAAAGTGCCCTCAAAGGAGGGACAAAGGCAGGGAGTAATAGAGAATATGGCATTATCGCAAAACCACGTTTTGTTTGTTTTTAATGTAAGACTGGAGCATAGAACTTGTGACAGGCAGAGGTAATCCTGCAAGAGATGAGAATGAGACCAGAAGTCATTGGGTGCCAATCTAAGTAGAACTGGTCCGACCCATTACAGAATTTGATCTTTGTCTTACATGCAGCGAGGAAGCCTTCAAAGCCTTCAGGAAAGGGATAAGGGGAGGTGCTTGAGAGTGGACAAGAGGGTGGAATCCTGCTCACTGATGGTAGAGGGACCGTAAAGGAGGAAATGCTCATAGCTCAGATCAGGGGAAGGCCATCCCAAAGCACATGGGATGGAAAGAGAGGATAGGATTTATGCTACTTAGATTTTCTATCCATAAGATCCAGTGCCACTATTCAGAGTATCCAGACAGAAACAGAAGACAAGTCATGTACACTTAGAAAATACAATGGATTAAAATGTCATTAAGTCCCAGACTGTACGTAGGAACATATGGACCAATGAGACAGGCCAGGCTCCTAAAGCTTTTAACTATCAATAGGAAAAGGAAGTATGCAAAAAAATAAATAAATAAATGTGAACTGTATGTTAAACACATGAAAAATTCTATAGGAAAAATCAGAGGACAAAAGTAAAAAACAATATTGTACAATACAGAATTCTAACCCACACACATAGATATAAAATTAGTGGTTGCTATTTTAAAAATGAATAGGTTCTTATTTTTTTAATTTTTTTTTTTTTTTTTTTTTGCTCTTTACTAGTCTTATCTCTTGCCACAAGGTTGTTTACAATTAATTTTTTTTAATTAAATGTGAATTGATACTGGTCTATTTAAGATCAAATCAACAAAAATGGACTGGCAAAATACATGTAGAAATAGCACATTACAAGGCTTTGGGATATAATTAAGAATATTACTGACCTTGATAATTTCATAAGTAAATTCTCTAACTACAATCTATTTTGAATAACCTACCTAAAAACTATGTAAACATACAACCGCCACTTAGTCTCCTAGTAGAATCTTGCTTCAAGATTCCCAAAATTCTACTTCAATTACAGTGTTTACAGACCTGTCTATAAACATACTGCCTGAGACTATAAATGAAAATGGTAAAACAGTAAAAGCTCTGCAGAAAATGCAGCTCTGAGTTCATGGGATTAAGGCAGAACTCAGTCTTTTCAAGTAGCTGTAATTACTTCCAAGTACATACTATAAACACACACAAAAATTCCAGAAAAACATAGCAGTAAATCAGCACATAAGTATTGAACAAACAATAAAAGAACTGAAAGCTAAAATCACCAAAAGAAATGTTATTTGACACTTAAAACTCTGGAATTTATTTCCCATGTTTAAGTTCCATGATTCTTATTTGCTAAATAAAAATTTTAAAATGTGTTGAGTTTTAAAGCAAACAACACATTTTAAAATTTTGGTTTAGCAATAAAAATCATTGCTTTAGTTAATGATTTTAACACTTCTTTTCTACATTATTAGAATCCTTTAATTGGTCTCTTGTATCATTAGAATTGCTCTGCTTCTATCCATTCTTCCCATGGTCAAAGTGAGAGATAATATAATCATGACATTCTTGAGTTCAAAAATCCTTCAACAAATCTCTGTCAGTTGATGAATAAAATGAAAAGTCTTTAGCATAAATATAGAGAGTTATTCATGACCTGGATCCAGATACACCTGTCACATAGAACCACTTAATATTGCTAAAATATGCCAAGTTCACAGTCTAGCAAACCACTTTCTTCCCCTGCCTGCAACATCCTCCTCTACCTGACTCTTAATCCTTTACCCACTCAGTTCCAGCTTCGCTTGTATATTTTTGCACTCCCACTACAGCCAGCAATACCTCTCCTACATTTATTTACTGCTCCTTACTGTAACAGTTGGTTGTCCATTTGCCCAACTTGAATACGAACTTATGAAATTCAGAAAATGTATCATTCATGTCTGTATCCCAGAGCCTAGCACTGTGCCTGGCACTGTAAAGGCAATCAAATATCATTTGTGAAGGGAATAAAAAGAATATAACAGAATTTCCATTTGTGCCTGCTTACCTTCATAGTGGAAAACACTATTCCATTGGGACAATGTAATAATACACATTAATCTCTTTTGCATAATGGGGTAGTATATAAGTATCTTAAAGAATATACCGGCCATTCCTATTCTGCACCACCTTTATCTAAAGATATAAAGCAGGGAATGGGGCTCGTAGGAAAAAATTACTCAAAGGAACAAGGTCATTTTCAGTGGATTTAAAATAAAAAAATAAGAACACAGTAGCTAAAGATACTTCAAACGCTGGATACTTAGATGTCTATTTAGTAAAAAATAAATAATAGAAAAGACTCAAAAGGCTTGGAATGGTACTTTCAGACTCTTAAAAATAAGGGAAAGAGAATCATGTTCATCTCAAACTTCATGAAAAACGACAATCCGTTCCTATTGTTTGCTCACAATTTAACCCCCTTTGGGACTCAGGAATATTTCAATAGAAATATTTTTAGAAAGCACACATTTTGTTCATGGCAGAGGGTGAGGGGCAGGAATCATAATCACACATACGTACAAATAAAATTACTTGCCTTTCTGAATTGCCTCATCTTACTTAGCTAGGAAAAATCTGGGAATTAATCTTTCAAAATGGCTCAAATATGAAGGTCAATGTAACAGAGAAGCTCCTCATTTTTAAAGCAGCTTTATTGAGACCACAGTTGAAAACAAGGAATACAACTTATGGCAATTTACATACCTTGTGCCAGATATACAATATTTTAGGTTATTAAATATGCAATGTCTGATTTCAAATCAAAAGTGTAGTTTATTATATCTCAAACAAGAAGCAGTACAATTAATCCAAGTATGCACCTAAACTACCAACACAGTTTTGCCATCTTAATGGTAGCTTGTTTATGCCAGCAGCTAACAAGCCTGGAGAGCGAGTGGCGAAGAAATCGCGAAAGGCATTTTCCATGGCTTTTTGGGACTTAAATATTTTCCCTTGCAAGAAGTGGTCCAAAGCCTGGAAGAAGTGGTAGGCAGTTGGTGCAAGAGCTGGTGAATACAGTGGATGACAGAGAGTTTCCAAGTTTGGCCTCTATAGTTTGAGCAGCATTGTTTGTGCGACATGTGGTCGAGAGTTGTGTTGCAAGAGGACTGACTGTCTCTGTTGACCAATCTCAGCTGCTTAATAGCAAGCAGCCTCATCATGTCATCCAAGTGGTTGCAGTGGACATCTGCTGTAATAGATTGACCAGGTTTCATGAAGCTAGTGGATAATACCAGTGCTGGACCACCAAACAGACACCGTTAGCTGTTTTTGATGAATATTCAGTTTTAGACTGTGTTTCAGCACTTCATCTTTATTCAACCATTGTGCCGAACGCTTGCGATTGTCAAAAAGGATCCAGTTTTCAACACATGTAACAATACAGCATAGAAATGGTTCGCCTTTATGTCATGAGAGCAAAGAAAGGCAAGCTTCCAGATGATTTCTCTTCTGATGCTCATTTAATTCATGCAGTATCCATTTATCCAGTTTCTTTACTTTGTCCATTTGTTTCAAATGGTTCAATATTGCTGGAATAGGAACATCAAACCTTGCTGCTATTTCACGCATAGGTTGAGATGGATTCGCTTCCACTATAGCTTTCAGCTCATTATCATCCACATTGGTCTCAGGTCACCCATGTAGCTCATTTTCAAGATGAAAATCACCAGAACGTAACTTCTCAAACCATTGACATACTGTGCATTCATTAGCCATATCCTTCCCAAACACTTCTTTGATATGTGGAGCTATCCGTGCAGTATTGGTTCCACAAAGGATCTCATACTCAAAAATAACGTGAATTTTTGACTTATCCCTGGTTTCACAAAAATTGCTCTAAAAAACACACTTAAAAGATAATCATAAGCCAAACCAGGCATTTGAAAGAATGAGGATGTATCTTCACCATAAAAATAAAAAAATGTCAAACTGAAATGTCAGAGATATCAACTGTCAGGCT